GACAGTCATCCCCAAATGGGCACGATTTAGATATTTGAAAGAATAAGTTCCTCAAATCATTATCTATGTTATCTGATTTGAAGACTACAAAACTCATCTAAAGTCAAAGATACTGAAAACAGTGTTTCCTTTAGATTAAAAATAAGATCAGAATGAAAAAGAGGACAATTTTAAAAGCAAACTGTATAAATCAACCAAGCCACAGGGGAATGAGAAGCCACAGCCACTCTCACTGCTCTGCACTCTTAACGCCACTGCTATCTTGCACTTCACTAACCCAGCTAACTCAGTGGCCCTTGCTGCTGCTCTGGCTGCTGACCCAGAATGCCTGACCTGACCCTTCCCAAGTTACCTGCTGAAGCTCAAGGACTTTTTCCTGAAGACACACCTTGTAGTTTCCTCATGAGACTTTGGGAAGAAGGCCTCATAAAGCCAGCAGCTGCCTCATGAATGTTGAGTTTTATTGTCTAATTTACTTTGTGCACATTTCTTTTTTCGTATTGTCCCACACTCCCCTTCCTTTTTTGATTGTAAGCCGCCCTGAGTCCCCTCAGGGAAAAGGGCGGCCTATAAATAAACAAATCTAGAATCTAGAAATCTCATGAAGGACCAGGCTAGGCATGTCTTGCCAGAAGCAGGGAGATAGCGAAGGTCAGCTGATGTGGTGAAGCAAGACAGCTGAGGCCTCAAACTACAGGGCGGCAAGGGCAGCTACAGCTCCTTACTACTACTACTACTACTACTACTACTACTACTACTACTACTACTACTAGGCTGAGCTGGGCCAGTGAAACATAGAACAGCAGGTTCTTTGAAGGGCACAGCAGTGAAGGGAGCTATGGCTTCTCAGTAACTAATAGACAGGGCTGGAGCAGCTACAGCTTCACACTATACTCCTAGGCTGGGGTGGGCTGGGGCAGATGCTCCACTGCAGGCAGGGGCTTCTTTCAGTTCTACAGCCACAGCAAGCCAAGAAACCCCTGAACCATAGTGCAGCAAGCAGTCCCCAAAGAAAGCAGTTCTTGGGCTCTTACTGCCCCTTAGGCAGGGTGTAATGTAGTCCAAAGGGCAGAGATGGGAGTAGAGTAGAGTAGGTTGGAGGGAGTATAAAGGGATGAAGTCCCTTACTTTGAATAACAGGCTCAGGACTAGAAGGTCCCAAGGAGGAAGAGCTTGGGTCGGGGTGAGTCCTTGGCTTATAATTGGTGGGATTTGGTTAACAATAGCAAGGAAGAGTGCCATCTCCAAATGATGTGGTCACGTGACATGGTGCCTTATAACCACATTGCTTAGTAAGAGAAATTCCAGTACCAACTGCAGTTGTAACTCGAGGACTATTGGTGTCCAACTTGCCTAAAGAAAATAATGGTGACATTCAGACAATTTTCCAGGCCAAATCATCAATCATATAAACTCAAAATTCAAAGAAGTAAGTTAACTTTGTCACTAGAGTAATATGCCATAAGTGGGATATTACAGAATAACAGAGTTGGAAGGGATCTAGGAGCAGGGGTGAAATTCAGCAGGTTCTGATAAGTTCTGAAGAACCAGTAGCNCAACTGTGGTCATAAATCAAGGATTACCCAAACACAACAGAATAAGTACTCTGCTTTTAACATATCTAAACTCCTTTCATTCAAAGATCGTGTATGGGCATGATATCATCAATATCATGCCCATGAATTATGACTGTTAACAGAATTGCCATAAAGAGGAAGGTAACATTATTTGCCTTTCTAATAAATAGAATATTATTATCACCTATTATCACCTATTTTAATACATTTGCCTTTTTACAAGGGGGGCATGTTTAAGGATTAAATGAGTGCCTTAAAAAGGCACCCACTATATTTTAGAACCTCCACCCCCACAAAAATCAATTGTATACTGCTATGCAACTAATATTTGGCTTTCTATTCATCTTAATACAGGCTTACTTACTTCTAGAAAGTGATTGCCAATATTCAGATGTAGTAAGCAAAAAATATTTGTGTTACATACATAATAGGAACTAGAACGCTTACTCTTTAATTGTCCTTTAACGTCTCTGTCTTCACTTGAATGTTCTTCATAATGAGATTGGAGCTGTTGAAAAGACTGCAGATCATTCAGACACAGGGGGCATAGAAAGCCCTCTCTCACCTCCCCGGGATCATCAAATGGAGGTGTGTAGCTTGTTGCCATAATGGTCCAAGGTCCCTGAGATTATTGCTTCTCTCCAAATCTCAGATGCTATGGAACATTGTGTGTCATGAGTAAAGAAGTGGACACAGAGTGAGGAAATAGTTATTGTTCTTATCTTCTCTGCAAAGCATTCCCCTGAAACAGATGCAAAGAGTAGTTTTAAATGGAAGAAACTATTTGATTTGGTAAGTATATTTTCTCTAATATGTTAATAATGTTTTAATGGTTTACTTCAGAAGACCAAGGGGTAGGCTATGTGGTTCTCACAGTTGCCAAGATGTCCTAGATAACTCCTTTAAATACCTACTAGGATTCCTAAAATTTTAATACAAATTAAGTAAATATGAGGCTGGAATGCTGCAAAACCACCTCTCTCATTGTCTCTGTTTACAATGATGCCTTTTGCTTCTCTGTAGATCTCACTAAGATTATAGTAAGTATAACATGGGGATACTTTATCTTCTGGTAAACAAACATTTTGTGGACTGTTCTAATAATAGAACAGCCTTAACAATGTTTTAACAAGCAAGCCTTAACAATCATGATGCATCCACCACATGCTTTCAAAATTCCAGTGTGTCCCAACCCAAGAAGATTCCATGTCTCTGAAATNGTGGTTTTGTCACCGCGGTTTAGTCGGGTGCGCTTTTGTCGTTCGCCCTTTTGTTGGTGAACCGTTTTTGTGAGAGACATAGCAATAGCAATTAAGACTTATATACCTCTTGACAGTGCTTCACAACCCTCTCTAAGTGGTCCACAGAGTCAGCATATTGCCCCCAGAAATCTGGGTCCTCATATTACCCACCTCGGAAGGATGAAATGCTGAGTCACCCTTGAGCCTGGTGGGATTTGAACTGCTACATTGCAGGCAGCCGGCAGGCAGCAGAAGTAGCCTGTAGTAGTGTACTCTAACCACTGGGCCACCGAGGCTCTTAATATGCACATGGATTTCTGAATCCATACTATAATAATAATGTTTGAGTGATACTAAGCCAAAATATGATCTTAAAATTAAAGAATTAAGGCACTTCTAACTCTAACCACTGTACTCACTTGCAAAGGGGAGACTAACCAGTTCCATGCACTTCTTGCACATGATAGAGCCACAGAGTCGGCAGTGATGGCGCCTGTTCCGTATGCTGAATTTGTTACCACAGTCTGGACAAAATGGCACATCTTGATCATTAACCCAAGGCACGACAGATTTCTCTATTGCTACAATAAGACACGATAACCTGTTAGACATCATTAATGAAATCCTATTTGAAAATATTAACAAAGGCATTTTGTCTTTGTGCTCATTACCTCTTATCTTTGCTGAATCTGTAACTGTTCTGTCAAAGGAAGTAAGCTGACCAAAAGAAAACGAACAAGAATTAGATATACATACCAATTTTACTGTAAAATTTGTCACATCACTTCAAGTAAATCTGTTTTAAACAATTTTTCTTAAAAATCAAATGTCTTCCCAGAGTATCTCTTTTATATCACCTTAGTAATAGACCAGCAGATTAATAGAGTCCAAATTCGGGGGGGGGTGGGTGGTAGAAAAATATTTAAAAATTCAGAGAAATCTTTTTGTTTTAAAGGTCAAAGTTTGAATAGGGAAAATAGTAAAAAACAAATTAAAAAAGGAAAATTGAGAAGATATTTAAATTTTTCTAATTAAAAAGTAATGTTTAACACTGCTAAAGAAAGAATATTATGTTCTTTCATTCCAACTTCTGTTTAATTCCTTATTATATAATATTTAGACCAGAAAGGGAATACTAAATTTCTCAGTCTAATAGCACTACTGCTATTAATAGGACAGTTCAGAGATGTTAAAAGTAGGTCAAGACAGCATTTTTTTCTGCCAACTAATTTTTATTACTATGCTTTTTAGACTGCTCTGTATCAATGGTGGGTGAGACTTAAGCAAACAGCAAGGATCAAAAGTATCGTGTGCCTTAGAGGATGCTTCATTAAAGTAAATTATAGATCAACGTTTTCTTTCTCTATATTTAACATCTCTTCAACCACTATTACTTTTTTTGTTAACAGCACCTCACCAAGGAATACATTGAATTATACTTCAACAAATAACATCATTAAAAACATCACAAGAAATGTTACAGTAGCTAATGATTGAAAAAAGGGCTTACATATGTTATTACAATATTTTAAGTAAAAGTTTAATAGAAAGTAAAGTAAAAAATTTAAAACTACAAATCATTTACCTTTTCTAATCTGATTATTAATTTATTGACTTCCACAACATAATGATCAATTCTGGCTGCTCTGTGTTTCTTAAAATCAGAAAGATGACTTCTTATAGCACCTAATATAAAATATCCGGTTAGGAAACTTGACAGAATAATTCAACCATAAATATTCAGCTAATGGGCAGTTTATCATGTTCTTATTTCTATCAAATTTGCTATTCAGTCTAAAATTCAGAATTAAAGAATGGTAGCTCATGGACCATTTGCAATGCCATTTAGCCTAACAATAGATACAGTAACCAACCAATCATAATAACTAACCAACCAACCCAGACTGTCACTTAGAATATTAAGCATAAACATATTATTTCTTTACTGATCCAACTAATTAAACAGCCAAAATCCTTCAAGAAAATGATATTGCAAATGGTCCATGAGCTACCATTCTTTAATTCTGAATTTTAGACTGAATAGCAAATTTGATAGAAATAAGAACATGATAAACTGCCCATTAGCTGAATATTTATGGTTGAATTATTCTGTCAAGTTTCCTA